AGACCCGAGAACGGCCCGGTCAGATTGCGGGCATTGGTCCGAGCCCGTTGATAGAGAGTTGTTTTAGGGTCGATTGCAGGCCAGTTCAGATTGAACCGCCGGGCCGGGCCGGTCCGTAGCCAGATATCTATATATATATAGTTACTAGCTTAGCTATAAATTTTACCTAATAAATTTTACTTATGTGGCAAATCATTAAATAAAACCTAATATATATAACCTAATAATATTTACTTATGTGACATGAATACACCATATCTCATTACAATTTTTTGGGTTAATTAAGACAAAAATCATTATATTATATGTAATTTAGTAAATATATTTTTTGTTGAATCATATAATAGTTAATATTAAAATTAGTAATTATATTTTACACTAAATGATATGTGAAAGTTACATAAATTATATTTTATACTAAAATAAATATTATATTTGTTTATATGATTAAGAGATTTTTTTAAATAAATTAATTTTTTGTCATATTAAAATTTCTTAAAATCGTTTATAATAAATTTAATATTTCTCAGCTAATTAATTGATCATGATCACTTAAAATTATATTTTTTTATGCGATCAATATTATGATTCATATGCAATCAAATCTTATTTACTATTTTTTTTAACCAATGATCAAATTTTTAAATGTAATACTATTATCTAATGTTTAATTTTAATATTATATACATAAATATAATAATACTATTTAATTTATAAATTTAATTATATGAATTTAATTATATGCATATAAATAACTTAGAGCATGATTGGATACAAAAATTTCTCAAAAAAATCCAAACATTTTTAACTCAACCACTTTTTTAACTCAACTTTAACTCAACTCAACTATCATCAATATTATCAATATAATTAAATAATATCAATCAATCATTCTTACACACAACATCACCTTAATTCACTATCCATCCACTCACATAATTTTAACTAACCATCACTTCAAATCTTCTCTTTCCTACTTTACATCAAATCAACTTTAATCATTTTATTTTAAATATTATTTTAATATATCCACTAACAATTAATCATATCAACTTTTTCAAAACTAACCAAACCAAACAAAAAAATCCAAACAAAACCAAAATTTTTTATATCCAATCATCCTCTTATAATGTTTAATTTTATTTACAAATTACATATCTGCAAATGCAAGCGTGGAATACTAATACTAATATAGAAAGATTACGGGATGAAACTGTAATTTGTCAGTTGTTGATAAGTGAGAATATCCCTATCGAATTATCCCCTGAAAAAACAAGACCAAAGCAAAACATCCTTTAATTCCGCGTTAAATGGAGCTGTAGAAGGCGCAATTTGCCGATCATCGGACGGCGACAACCTGGTTAGCCGGACACATATCTTCAACCTCGTTAAAATCTTGTTTTCGTTGCTACTTTCATTGTTTTTTGTTCCTTTTTCGTTGATGGGCATTTGCTTCAGTAGCTGAATCATACGGTGCTTAGGTTTTTCATGTTCAGTTTACTTGTTTTTGGCTTGCCCTTGTGTGAGAATTAATGGCTCGAATAGAAATTATGCAGCTGTTAGAGCTTGAGTTGAATTTTTCCCCTTTTTTCGTTACCTCTTGTTTTGATTACAGATTTTTCTTACATGTTGAATGAGCTTCCAATTTTTCTGACTATTGATATCTTTGTATGTGGAAATAATTGTGATTAGATTGTTCTGGACATTGGGTTTTGGGTTTTAGCTCATTTTGGAACAGTGATGAGGGTCGAATATGCTGGTTCTCCCTTGAAAATGCTAGCCAAGTTTCATAATTGATCATGAAATATCTTTCGAATTTTTCTGTCAATTATGTATTGGGAAGATGCTACGGTCCCGTTACGAAACCATTCCGTCGAGATTTGTAACCGTTAGATCAACTATCTCTGACGGTTACAAATCATTTTTATCGCGCCTTTACCCTTCTGCAAACAACTACTGACTTCTAGTATGTTTTAATCTGAAAAATTTTAACACCCAATGTACATCATTGTTAAATGGAAAAATCCATTCATGTTTTGTTATATGTAATTACATGTGAGTTGAATATGTCTCTCCTCACATTGAGATCATACATGCAACTGTAAGTTCTTCTAATTGCTGAATGCTACTCTGTAATCACTTTTTCCAGGTGAAATAAACGCTATCTTTTTTTTTATCGATAATCCCTTCCACTCATGGCACACGCCGTCTCGATTTCTTGTTCGCTGACCATTTCCTCCGGCAGCCGAACATACTTCAAAAACCCATCACACCAATTTCCACCCCTTTCATCCACCACCCTACAAATCCAAAAATCGCCCTTCAAAAACCTCTCCTATCGCACCACATACGTAAAAGCCGCAGCCCAAGAAGCCCCCACAGCCCAAGAAGCCCGTTCCCAGCCCGGGCCTGCCTTTCCCCAGCCACCGTCCACTTCCAATCCGGCCCCAAAACGTGTCATGGTCATTGGCGGTGATGGCTACTGCGGGTGGGCCAC